CGTATGTATGTATGTATGTATATGTGTGTATGTATGTATTTATATATATATTATATTTATTATAAATATATATATATATAAATATGTATGTGTCTGTGTTTGTGTCTGTGTCTGTGTCTGTCTGTGTCTGTGTCTGTCTGTGTATATATAGTATATATATATATATATATAGTATGCTCACGCGTGTACAACTGCATTGTTTAATTGATTCCTATTATGCCTACCGTCAGGATTCTGTGATTGAAGAACCGGTGAGCCATGCCGTGGGAGTTATAGCCGACTCCAAATCATACGAGGTCACAGTCCTGTCCACCAGACCGGACCTTGACGTTGACCCGCATCTACTGTCGTATGTATCATGTTTTCTCGTATGTAACATCTCCTTTCGTATGTATCATGTTTTCTCGTATATAACATCTACTGTCGTATGTATCATGTTTTCTCGTATATAACATCTCCTTTCGTATGTATCAAGTTTTCTCGTATATAACATCTCCTCTCGTATGTATCATGTTTTCTCGTATATAACATCTACTGTCGTATGTATCATGTTTTCTCGTATATAACATCTACTGTCGTATGTATCATGTTTCTCGTATATAACATCTACTGTCGTATGTATCAAGTTTTCTCGTATATAACATCTCCTCTCGTATGTATCAAGTTTTCTCGTATATAACATCTCCTCTCGTATGTATCATGTTTTCTCGTATATAACATCTACTGTCGTATGTATCATGTTTTCTCGTATATAACATCTACTGTCGTATGTATCATGTTTTCTCGTATATAACATCTACTGTCGTATGTATCATGTTTTCTCGTATATAACATCTCCTTTCGTATGTATCAAGTTTTCTCGTATATAACATCTCCTCTCGTATGTATCATGTTTTCTCGTATATAACATCTACTGTCGTATGTATCATGTTTTCTCGTATATAACATCTACTGTCGTATGTATCATGTTTTCTCGTATATAACATCTACTGTCGTATGTATCATGTTTTCTCGTATATAACATCTACTGTCGTATGTATCATGTTTTCTCGTATGTAACATCTCCTCTCGTATGTAACGATCCTGTAATGGTTGACTATGGCCGAGTGGGATAATGGAGTGCAACAGCCCATTGAGCTTCCCTTGTCTCTTTTGAATATCTTATTTGCTCAGTGGCACCGGTCTGCAACGCAATTGCACGGCCTGACGTCTTCTGAGAATTAAACATCGTTATACATCGCATTACTTTGCGTTGCAAGTATGTATGGCCTGTCGGGTTGTCTCGTCTTGAGGGGGAATGATCTAGCAGATTCCCACGCATACTATCTGCAGTGTCGCTCTCACTCTATTTATAACTTAATCTCTCCCTTGATACTTCTTCCAGTTCAGCATTTACGCGCATATGGTGGCTATGCTGCCATAGTGGACGTGTACCATAGTCATACCTGTCGGATTTTAAAGTGAACATGCACGTTCAAATCGTGTATACATACATATGTTTCTAACTATCGGTAGACCTGCCCTAATACATAAACGGTCGCCGTATGGTATAGATGCCCCGTATTACCTGGCAAGTATCAAGTACCGGTTGCTGCCTATTATTGCTGAACTCTTTCTACATGCAACATGCGTCCCATGTAGAGATGTGGAGGTTGCCTCGCACATAGACACGACCACGGCAAAGCCCTCAGCGCTGATTACGTTCATGCTGCAAGCGGTTACAGACATGTGGAACCTAGGCTTGCCTTCAGAAACCGTATGTATAAACCCAGTTAATGTGTGCAGTAAGTGGACCCGTATTTGAATGTATGTGAATGTGTGTGAATTCTACCGATCAAGCGATAGCAGATATGTTTGCGATTTCAAAAACTAAACTCAGATTAGCGTATATGTGGTTGTGTGACTAAGGTGAGTAGACGTATTTTTAAGTGTGACTAAAGGATGTAATTATTTCGATGTATACATATACAAATTTATGACTACTTGTACAGTGCAATTATACAGTGTGTGTGGACAGTTATATGATAATAAAAGGTACTGTGGGAGTACTATTTATCGGTGCATATGCTGCGTATGCTGCGTATATCATAGTGATAACCTCTCGCATTGAGTGCATATTCACACATATGAACCTGTTGTCAGACATCGAGTTGATCTGAATCAGTGACACATCGAAAGCGTATACGGCTCTTTCACTCAACCCTCAGCAACCACGTTCTAAAGAAAGTGTACCAGTCTTACTGCTGATCTGATTCTTCGACGCAATCCAACCTGTCTTACAGTGCTTGTGGCACCTCGAGGACCATTTGCAGAACGTTTATTTCAAGAGCAAGGTACTGGCAGAGGTCATGGCCGATCTCAAGGCCCAGGGCCAACCCATCACAAAAGCCAGCTTAGCTACAGCCATCGGGTGTGTCATATGTGGCATTAGGCACCATGTACATATTCACATATAAATATACATTTGTGTTATTTCGCTACAGCAACATATGCATGCTGGTGTACAAGTATTGTGGCAGTTACAGACATGCACTCCACAAGGTTATTCACCACATAACGTAGATATGCTTCCCCGCGAAAAAAAAAATTTACCCAGACCGAATTCTCACTGTATGTCAGTTTTTATGCGCACTCAACTACTACACTCCAGACCATACGGAATAAGACCCACTCACTGTATATACCGGCACACTCCATGTCACCTTCGGACGCAACCATATAGTCATGCATGATCCTATGCTTATCATTTATGCTGTTCTCTTATGTGCCTTCGTGGGTTCACATATGGCCGGTTGGTCAAATGATTTCGGTGCCTGATACTAATGAGACATAATCTGTCCCTCCAACCACAGAGTGGATGCGACTGATATCGCGCTTCTCCTCACAGTGATGGATACCTACATAAATAATTCACCCGCTCGGTAGCGGCGCTTACCGACGGCTATTATAGTCGGCACTTATATCTGCTGACAAGATGTGTAAATAGTGGACTTCAGGTGAAACTTACAGAGTACCATGGTGCAGAGTATAATAAACAAGCAACTAACTCTGTTGGGTTCAAATGAGCTGTCAGGGTTTTTGAGGGCATGGATCAAACACAATTGCTATGAGACTTGTCGAGAAGCAACTTACCATATTAGAGATATATATTATCTTACTATTCCATAACTTGTATAAGATAGTGAATCTATCTTGTTGGCCGTTTTATTGCGTGCTCCTACGACTGCGACAGTATACGTGCGTCCTTAGGGTATTGTGCTGTGTCTGTGGCTACTACATCACCTGTGTTATGTAAATCTAATATGTTGCGTCGTAGATTTCATTTTGGGCTGGCTCATAGTCGTAGACGACCTGGATATGCAAAGGCAATATTGGCAACCTGTGCGGCAAGTATTGCGACAGTGGCAAACTTCATGGTGGGTATATAAAGGTAGTAGTAGATTGTTAATGAAATAGTATTGTGATGAATGACACCAGTAACTCCTTCATCGGTGTAGCATAATTCTGTTGCGCCTGATTCAGGGTTTTACTGTAGAATATAAGGTAGTGTTTCTTCGAGTTCACCCATTGAAATAGCGCTCCCCGCAAACCGTAGTCACCAGCATCGGTTTCTAGATTCAGCGGAACGTAATCCACCGGGAAGTTCAGAGCTACTGTGTTCACGATCGCGTCCTTCATAGCCACCCAGGCTGCTGTATGTCTGTCTTCTAATCGGTCCCCGATTGGTTCGTTGGGTTTCAACTTACAGAATTCCCTTAACGGTGTCACAATGTGGGCGAAGTTCGGTAGATGTTCGTAAAGAAAATTCGCAAGTCCTAGTGCCGAAGCAATGTCCTTGTAGCGTTGCGGCATCGGCCAATCTAACAACTTAGCTTGCTTTTCATGGTCGACATCGATTCCTTGGGCCGATACTTTCTTCTCGAGGATCATAATTTCTGCTATCGCAAAATGGCACTTCGCTGCATTTAGCTTGAAACTATGGTAAGTCAACCGTCGGATCACCTCTTTCGTAATACGTATGTGTTCCTCGAAGTCATCCCCTACTATCACGATGTCGTCTATGTATTGATGGACCGGCATCCGTCCAGAATCGTGCTGAGAGTTCTCTGAAACGGTTGAGTCAGCACATGGAGCCCAAAAGGTGCTCAGGTAAACGAGAATTGATAGCGATCATGCGTGAAGCTAAACAAATACTGGGAATCGAGATGGATTGTGAGCCGGTGGTAAGCAGCCGAGATGTCTAACGTCGTGTAGCCTCGCTGTCAAAAGTGGGGACAGCTAACAACGGCAAATTCACTGTCGTAGGAGTAGTCCGGTTAACAATCACCTAGTCCTAGAACCATTTCTGCACCTGCTCCTCGACATATGGAAGCCATCCGTCCGACACAAAATTCTGAATAGATCGTCGCATACTCATCGCTTGGTCCCTCGTGACCGGAATAGCCACTTTACTACCTGCAAGGCGACAACGGGCGTTGTCGGCAATTGCCGCGTTATCATCGAGTTCTGACTGCAGGCGATCCCGTACCCCGGCAGGTTCCGTAGTATTTGGGGCCTGGCGACGTGGAAGAGGTGTCAATAACTCGTCTAGTTCCGTAGGATCAATTGGTACCAGAGGGGATTGTATGCCTCCCAAGTATAAACCCAATCCAGGCATAATATCCAGACCTAATATCATATCAATACCCTCCGGTAAATTCATCAACTCTAATGATCCCTGAGTAATCTCAGTCCCATATCGAATTGGTAAGATCTCCGTCGTGCCCAGGCGCGGGGTACGCACCGCCTTATCTGCCAAATATATATACGTCCCCGGTGGTGCTGGGGTGACGGGCCGGTTAAGAAGATCTGCGGATGCCGTTGAGATGCAACTTATGTTCGCCCCGGTATCAACTAGTGCCCGGAACGTACGTCCGTTCAACTGTAACTGAATATAAACCCTATTATCTGGTTAATAAAATTGGCGCGGATGGCTAATACCCTACTCGAAGAGTCACTATACGTTACAGTCAAATCTTCGTCCGACACCCTGATGTCCTATTGCTGTGATTCTGTTGACGACCAATAGTCCCTGTTCGGCTGTGAGGTTATCGACTCTGGTGTCCCGTACTCACTATGAAGGATAGGATTGATATAGACCTCTGTAGCATTCGGTAGTGGTGTGATGCTTCCCTCTTCCGAAACCATATTATTCTGCGGACCCCCCCCCCGACGCCGTGCTAGATGATCTGTCTGTTGTCGTCTGTGTTGTCCCCGACGACTGCAGTCCTGTGCCTCTCGCGGTCCTCTCGTCTGATCTATTGGGCGTCCCCTATTGCTCATGGTATCGGATTGGGAATGAATATTGTTCCGATAATTATGACAACGTGGGATATGTCGTAAGCCGGGAGGTGCCTGTGCCTGACACCCGGAGCACACCGTGACCTGTGATGGTACCTGTGGTCTATGTTACCAAATCTCTTGTTGCCGCTGGGCAGTCTGCAGATTCGGACGACTATTCGTGGGTTCAGAACGTGACGTCTCACCCCCGTGCGGCCATCGATTCGCTAGACGAGCCGTTGTACGGAGCTGTGCTTCTTGTATATCCGGACTTAGTAATTGGAGCAATGCATGTGTTTCCAAAACTACAACGTGCGTTCATATGTCCGTACCCCTAGACAATCCTATAGTAACTGTACAATACAGTGGTTAAGTAGACTCTGCTTGAAGTCTGCATCATTCTGACTACGTTCGTGCGCACGACGGTGGTTCTCCATTAGGTATGTCATCCGTTCCATGATGGGGACATTCGTCAGTTTGATGTGGCCTTTAGCTAGTTTCCGGAATGTCAGATCTACCGTTGCCTGAGTTTCATGTGCACAAATCTGGGTGATCTGCAACTCTGGTTTCCAATCAACCAATCTATTGTGGCTAGACTTTATATACTCTAGTGTCGACTGTTCGGCCTTAAAATGATTTAGTACATTGTAGAACCAGCGTAGACTCCTAATATATGTGCATTCTTCCACGTTTCCAACAGTGCCCCCTTCGTATCCCTTTCTATGATATTGCTCAGGTTGTATCTGTTGGATGGCCACTCCGGCCAACTCCGAGGCTCCCTAGGTTCCTTCTTGCCCATTGGTCGCGACTCATGTGTGGCGCGCAAGGTTTCTAATACTCCCCGTAGTGCTTCGGCTCTCATCGACGGTATGTACTTCGCTCTCAACAGGTTGTTGTGTTGACGATGAAGTTATTTGTAGTTGTTCTGGGTTGCTCGACTGGTGCGTCACAGTTGGCTGGGCTTGTTGGCTAAGCATCACTTCCGTTGTCGATGTTGTCCTTGCGTCTGTTTGGAAATCACCATTCTCGATTTGGAGGAATGTACTATTGTTCGTAGTGTCAGGTGTTGCGATAGCGGTTGTACATTTGTTGTCATCCCAGACAAAGAATTCATCTTCGAAAATATAGACGTCTCGGCTTTGTATTGTACGCTTGGTCAGAAATGAGTATATACGATACGAGTCCGGTGTTGTGTCCAAGGGTTGCGCAAGAAGAATGCCATCCAGTGCTTTGTCGTCGAGTTTGCCGTCTGGATCATGGTTCATGCGCACCGTGCACAATGGTTGATGGATCACTTTCATCTGAATCTAATGCGATGAGATACGTGGTGAGCTCATCATACGACATGGCCATCATAGCGGGTGTCTTTTAAGGTAATCTTAACAGTCTGATTATCGTCGTTTACAGCCTGCCGTAGAATAGCGCATAGGCTGTTGTTAGACTTCGTACCTCCGGCGTTTTTGAATTTCACATATGCCGTGTTGAGACGACTGATAAGGCTGGCGTAAGATTCGTTCCGTTCTTGCGTGATGCGGTTCAGGTTTCCTTCTAATGTCTGGATATCATCTTCGGCTAGGGCTACTAACTTGCGTTTCAGTGCGGCAAAAGCTTCCCACGGCTTATCAATGAATTGGCTGATCTCCGTCTGCAGCAGTGGAGATAAGGTGCGGTCGATAATCCGATAAGCCTCAGTGATTTCCTTGGGTGTCCATCGGTTGCCTCTAGACGGGGTCGGATCGGTCAATATTGTTGGGATTCCTTCACAATTCACGGATAGAATTGTCTGGGTTTTCCAAGGAAGCCAGTCAACCTTCGATTCGAGAATAGGGTGGTCTTAATATCCTTAGAGTTCACAGTAGGCATATTGATAGCGCGAGATCAGAGTGACCTGATAAGTTGATAGAGTGCAATGTAGTATACTTTAAATAAAGTGCAAATGTATTTATTTATTTTTGACCTCACCTTTGGTTTTATACCCAAGGTGTTTGTGCTAGTGTTCAGCCGCTTGGGCTGGCCAGGGTAAAATTTCATATGGCCAGTATGAGAAACCTTATGCGTAACACTTTAACACTTCGATGCTATTCTATTTCAACTTCTCTGCAACTAAATCTCACGCTGATCTCATAATGCCTTTCCGCATAGGTTGTGACTCACATAGAACCGCAGCTATTATAGAGTGTTGCGGATGACAGGCTTAATCAACTCTCGGAATCGGTTGAGAAACTTATCTGCTCTCGGGAATCGGTTACGTAATAACTCAGCTCTTGTGAGTAATTTAAGCAACTTGATTAGCTCTCGGGAGTGAGCTAACTCTGAAGACTTAGCTCGCGGGAGTGGGCTAACTCTGATGACTTCCATAAATCAAAGATGGTATCTTGCTGTAAAATCTGGCATGAGACCTGTAGTCTCTCAGTGGATAACCCCATTTTTCGTAAGTTGGTGTTCCTGACATCTATGCACCCTGGATATGTTTCATACCTTAGGTATAAAACCAAAGGTGAGGAAAGAAATAAATACATACATTACATTTACCCAATTGGGATGACAATCGTCGGAAACCAGTTAAGACTGGGTATGTTATCCAGACGCATGAATCACCCAAGATTATAATACCAACCACTATCCGAGGAACAACGCACCGAAAGGCCTCGACCATGGACTTTACAAGGGGTAATAAACACCCCCGTAAACGTGTTCACGAAGTCGAATTTAATCGCTTCGATCGCACAGCACTACATCAACCCGCAGAGGATTTTCACTCTGACGAGGAGACCGAACTTAACAAATCGGTCGACGATTAAAATGGAAATCGCCCACGATGTGCATCATGCTGAGGATGTATCATATTTTGCTAATATGATTGCGATTAAGCAAAAGCGCATCGATCAGCTACTTCAGGCCCAACGTGGACAAGACCACAGGGATAACCAGAAGTACAAACGACAGAACAGTCGACTTAAGTCGAACTGGGATGCCAACAATAGGCAGGTCGAGTTTATGAACAACCATGACCTCGACACGCTAACCGGTACGCTTAACGCGTTTACGGTCATGCTGCAGACGAATGATATCGCTCCCCAGCAATGGATCTCTGCTTTAATGCAAACGTCTGACCCTACAGGTACAAGTTATTTGATCCTGCAGCGACACCAACATGAGCTAGACACTTGTCGTGACTGGCCAGCTGTGTGTTGGTTGGTTACATCCTTGTTAAGTAAGGACATGCGTAGCCCAGGACTCAGTTCAATTTTATCTGAACCAGTTGAAAACACGCCCATTCAGAGTTATATTCTGAAGCTAGATGCTGACCTGAAACGTCCAGATATAACAAAGGACAAGGCACAGCGATGGTACGAGTTCCTGGTTATGCACGTGTTCTGTAAGAACATAGGGAATATCGACCGTGAGAGCCTGTACACCGAGTTGCAACGTAAACACGCGACTGAGGCTCGAGACAAGGGACATGAAACAAAGTTTCATCTATCCCGACTTACGTGGGAACAGTTTTATGATACTGTATTCACCCTTTTCCCCGCACACCGAGTAACATCGAAGGGAAAAGTGGCTGTTAAGAAGCCGCGGGAGCACACCGATCACGGATATGTATCCAGGCAGACCTCAAACGAGAGACCCAAACATACACGTGCTCGCGACTCCACTCTATCCACGCGACCCAATAAACGGGCACGCGCGGAGGCGAAGGACAAGGAACCTCCATTTAAGGAGATTAAGAATTGTGCCGACGCACAGTGTGGGTATGACATATACTAATTGACCCCTGACGGTTATTGGAATGGCAGGCATGCATCCACCTGTACACACTTTCTTATTAAGTGCGACAAGTGTGAGAAGACCAATGGCTATCACACTAAGTCTTGTGACAAAAAGCCCAACATTAAGTTGGAGTGAAGGTACTACCAGGTACAATCGTTACACAGACAATACAACGACTCTTTAGATGAGCGTGTAATAATCCCTGTATATTGCAATGGAAATAAAATCCTTGCGTTGATTGATCGTGGTTCAGAAATTTCATGTATATCCGATCGCTTTGCATTAATGAAAGATATCGAAAGGAGAACACAAACAACTCACCTCATTTTAGCTAATGATAAAACTGCTAAGTGTGATACCCTGGCCACGGATGTTAAAATCTCCCTGGCCGATGATAGGAATATCACTACCCAAGCTGTGATAGTTAAGATGCCACAGAAGTACGACTTAATAGTCGGAATGAGTGACTTACTCACTCTAGGTATAACCTTAACTGGTTTACCAAATAACATAAATCCATTAAAGATCAATCAGACGATAACTGTCGGAAACCATATAAGCCCCCGTCAGATACAGTCAAGCCATTAATACCTGACTTTGCGAACAAAATCATGGATCTGATTCTAGTTAATAAGAAGATAAAGATCACAGATTGGGCAAAATTCCGTTTTAACGACGGGTATGTCAGCCTTGACTTAACCAAGGTGGACCTTACACAGTTAAAGTGTCCCTCAAGGAACTATGTATCCTGGAGACACGAGGCTGTGGTAAAAGAACAAGTTGAGAAATGGCTAGCAGATGGAGTGATAGAAATTAACTATCAACAGACGCCAGTTAACTTGGCACTGCTAGCCATAGACCAACATCACTCTGACGGATCATTTAAGAAAGTCAAAGTATGTTTAGATATGAGTCCGATAAATAAATTATTGCCGACTCATAGCTTTCACTTACCTCGTATTAACGAGCTACTGCGAAGGATGGAAGGTGCTACAATATTTACAACTATAGACCTTACACAAGGATACCATCAAATGCAGGTATATGAACCACATCGTAAATACTTTAGTTTTACGTGGAAAGGTAAACAATACAGGTTCAGAGGTGCACCTTTCGGGTTACACTCTTTACCAGCATTCTTCCAACAAGTAATGGAGCAAATGTTTGCAGACATGCCTAACGTGCAAGTCTATATAGATGACATAGTCATCTTTTCTAAACTAAGGGCG